TCTTCACAAAAATGTATTGTGAGACTTTATTGAAGGAAAAATTGATTCGACTTTATGTAATAAACAAATTAAAGTTTTGTTTTAATTTAATATTCATTGAAATATACCGGGATCCAGGATGTATTTTGAATTTAATGCTTGTGATAAACTTATGATAGATTTATAAATATATAAATTTATGATACACATTGTATTTATGATACAATTTATGAAATAAGTAATATTCCTTATATATAATATATATTTTTGTGTGTACATAGAGAAGAAGTATCACTCAATATCATTCTATTGCTAGCCAAAGCGATTACTCAGTTTGCTTTCTTTCTTCTAAGTAATGGTTATCTTCGACAAAAAATATTTTCTTGATATAACAGACTTAAAATATATAGTAATCTCAGGAAAGCTCTTTATCGTGTACTCGAAAAAAGAATTTATTCTCTTCAGAAGAATATTTGAGATATTCTCGAAGAAAAAGTTGGTTCAACTTCATTCAATAAGCAAATTTTCGTTTTAATTTAATCTTCCTTTGATTGAAGTGCTAAACTTACTATTCAGAATATATTCTGAATAAATTTGATGCTTTTAGGAACTCATGGTAGATTTGCAGATATATAAACTTATAAAATACTTAAAACAAGTATAGGATTTACTTAAATAGTATTCTTTCATGTATAATACAAAACAGAAAATCACGATTAGGTAAAAATTATGTCGAAAAAATAGGGAAATGATCGGATGAAGAAAAAGTGAGCTTTTCTCATCAGTTGGTCTTCATTGTAACTTTCTCTTTTGCCTAAATCGATGCATCGTTTTCTTCTCTGAAGAACATTCCCGGACGTTGTTTGTTGTACTCTCAGATTACGGCTTGCGCAGGGAGTTTTGCAATCGTCTGGTCGACGCGGAATTTTGCTGAACTATGTGGTTTCGATTGAGAACAACGCGATTGCTGCTCGCGAGGCGAATTAAACCGCCAGCGCGAGAAACAAATCGCTGTCGGAGGGCTGACCTCCAAAGGCACCGTCATTAATCTTCGATTAAGTGCTCAACGATCGGTCAAGGTAATTTCACGAGTTTTCCCGAATTAGGAAAACCCGCCTCACCCTCTTGGTACCCCGGGTAGCCGTGCTCGGCTCGCCCCCTTCGCTCTCCACGGGGGAACCACCGTCTCTGTCAGCCACCAGTATGTCACCGTACAGACCAGCGCGCCGGTACAATGAGGGTCGACCGTGCGATCGATATGTGCACTCGACGGAAACAACCCAACGAAAGGTCGATCGAAAAGCGAAATCACTGCGTCTGCGAGCTCGCAAAAAATATCATGCGACGAGCATATCGTTGGGCGTTTTATCTGTGGATTTTGTATGCTCCAACACCCACGAGAACACCTTGGAAAATCAGTATCACTTCTACACGAGTGGCAAAGAAAATGAATATCGCTTCTATACTGAGGAAAACTCAGAATTGTATCGTTCAGAAAAATTTGGAAAAGCTGGTCACATGTCAGAAACTAGTCAGTCTTTACTATTTAAGCTTTACTAGACAGTAATTATTAAACAATTCAGTAAGGAAATCACATTGAGACTAATTATTGGTCAATATATAGGTAAATTATTAATAGCCGACATTATTAAAAATGTATTTGCTGAATTAAAACTAGCTAGAATTAGCTGGTCAAACAGATTAATAACTGATAGTTATTCTCAATAAAAACTCACGATATTCTAGTTCTTAACAAAAGGATATCTTTTCTGATCAAAAAGATAAATATTAATCAGAACAAACTAATTAGTTAGGTCGGTCACTGACTATATTTAAACTTATTTTCTACTCCTTCCTGACTACAATCCACGGCTGAAAACTGTCTCCGCAGAACTGAATAATGCTTAATGCGCGAAATAAGTGTTACAACTGTTACTCGTAAAACAACACGACCTGGAATTGCACGGAGTTATGAAATCTTATTTTCTCACAAGTAAACCTACTCAAAAGTTACATTCCGATTTCTTTCTAATTTGGCACAAATATAGAAGTTTGAGTTTCACGGGCAGTTTATAGCTTTTTAATGTTATCACTTCTATCATCAATAAGTGCAACAAAAATGCATAAGAAATAAAATTGAATACAAGATAGAAGGCGTTTTTGGTTTATTGATTATGAATATGAAGTCTAATGTGTAAAATTATTTATATAAATAATAAAACGTTTAAATGAACATATAAAAACCTGTAAAAAGTTGAAAAAATTATTTATATAAATAATTTCTCGGGTTAGTCGAGATTCAAACCATTTTTGACTAATTTAGCACAGATTTAAAATATTTCAGTTGGAATCTCGACTAAAAAATTTAGAATGGTCGTATGTCAGCTATGTCGATTTTGTTAAAATTTTAATTAAAATTGCCTGATTTTTCTCGGTTTGGCCGAGATCCAAATAATTTTTAATTAATTTAACACAAATTTAAAACATTTCGGTTGGAATCTTGCCTAAAGAAATTTATAGTTCGTGTCTTAGTTAAAATTATTTTGTTAAAATTATTTAACTGTATCTTATATTCAATTTTATTTCTTATATATTTTTGTTGCACTTATTGATGATAGGAGTAAGAACATTAAAAAGCTATAAATTTTCCGTGAAACTCAAAGTGTACCAAAATGAAAAAGTAAGATCTAAATATTTTTTGTACTTCTACATTTGTCCCAAATTAGAAAAAAATCGAAGTACACATTTGTCATACATTTAATCTAATGCTTGATTGTCGAGATATTTAATACTATAAAATAAGCTGTAGAAGAATTAGCTCCAAATTGGTCCAGAGATCTATAAAACAAAATTTCTAGCTGTTTTATTGATGAACGTTCTGTGACAGCAACATTCTGTTGGAAACGACAGAACGTGCGACGGAACTGTTTGTTGCGCTTGCCTTTGTGCGCTATTATCGTCCTTTTTTCTTAACGTCACTGCGGATACGAGGACGGGGATGCGGGGTGTAATCCCTTGGCAAAAACTGATTGAATCCCCCAAAATCCAACACCTTTATGTACGGCCGTCTGTCGCGCGCTCGGCGCACACTGATATATCGTCCGCATAATAGCGCCATTGAGGCATTACTATTATTGGCGAAATTTAGGGAAACGATCGAGCGTGCTAACGGATTCGTTGCAGCTTGCAGGCTGTTTGCAAATAGACCTCGTATAGGAAATTACTTGTTCGTGCGGCGGAGCCGTTTTGATGGATCGGCATGTCCGAATCAGCGATCTGCAAAAATCCGAGCTTATCATATTTGTCCCTAAAGATTAAATTTCAGTGCGCAAAGGAAGATTAACAATTGCCTGCCAGTAGCAGTGTTAATATAATATAATGACCAGATCTTCGCAATTTAGTAGTATAAAGGTGATAAATTTAGATATACATGCAGTAATTGATAAATGAATAGTTAATATAATAATTAATGGTAAAAATGTCGAGTAATTCTAAAATGAATAATATGACGCAATAGTTAATCATAAGTCAATATTATCGCAGCGAATGAGGGTGGTCCTTGGGAGTAGAGAGAAAGAATAAAATTTTCTCGAGGACCAGGCGGGAAAATATTATCCTTCCATTTTGGGCGCTCCAACCAACGGCTGTTTTGACAGATCCTCTCTCGTTCGTTCGCCGTTTGATCGAGCGATCGAACTCGCCTATTTATTTTCCTAACACTTGGCAGCTATAATGGGGTAACACCCACTTGCTCTAGTTATGCAAATTGCTTTCTTCGGGAGGCTTCTTCATATTAAGGAGCGATTGTTCCACGAGTTCAACGAAATTCATACATATCTGATGGGAATTCTTCGCAAGCATCTCCTTTGTTCTGAAAGAATTCACACTAAGATCGATCCATTTGTGAGAATATTCGCATTTCAAGACTCGTCTTATGACTTGAGAACATAGTAACGTAATATGAAAAAAATAACGATTATCAAAATCAATGATCGACATTACTAGCCACAATTAATCACCAAAATCTAAATTTAGAGAAAATAACATTCACAATTAAAAGTATACAAAATTTGAAATTGCGAAGGAAATAATATTCATGATATTAATAGTAATAATAAATTCATAATGATAATGAAATAATATAAGAATATATAATAATATATAAATAATATATAATGAAAATAATAAAAAATCCATAATAAGAACGACAAAATTTAAACGAAAATCTAAATTTAATTATCAAAATTAAATCATTTAGGACGCGAAACTAATTTGAGAGCGAATGGTTGAAATGAGTTAGTCGCGATAATTGCGATTATTCAACTCTCAGGTCCGTTGGGCGTTTCGCAGGCCTGTTTTACGTGTAATCCCCCGGATTATACGGGTAAATGTAACTTCAGAAACGATTTGTGATGCATCTGCCTTGCGGTGGCTTCCCGCGCCAGGACGCGTGTCGCGGCACGTGCTCGTTTATTCCCGAGCGACTGTTCCTTCCATTCCTGTAAAGTGGGATCGGAACATTTCATAGAGCATTGTTAAGGTGGGACGGGATCGCGAAGAATGAATCGCCGACACGTTCTAGGTAAAATATGCACTTTTTTTATTGGCAAAGTATAAATTATGTACAATATATATTCCCTGAATCGGCAATTCCCCGTATTATATACGATAAGAGCACTGGCGGACGTTGTACATGTACACCTAATTAACTTAAACTTATTTAAGACACGCTGAACCAAAAATGAGATCGAGCGTACGAGATCAACTAAAAATATTCATGACTAGAACAAAAAGGAACGCGCGAATGGAGTACCCTATTTGTAACATAAGAGATCTATTAACTGTCAATTAGTCCTCGATCGAGCAATTATTTTTATCACGAAATTAAAATATTTTTCAAATTAACATAGAGAGAGAGAGAGAGAGAGAGAGAGAGAGAGAGAGAGAGAGAGAGAGAGAGAGAG